GGCCCAGGGGGCGCTGCCCTGATGGCTGTGGCCCGTGGGAGGGTTGGCTCAGGCGCTCTGTTGTCACTGTCCAATGAACAAACACCCATGTGGTTTCACTGAATGTGCACCACAGTGCACTGCTGGTCAGTCAGATGACTGTGAATTCGTATCCTCCAATGGCCACTCCAGTGATGCCGAGGTTGGTTATACAGTGTTGGCAACAGAGCCGAGCACTTTTGTGGACAGCCTTGGTTTGTCAGATGACAGGTGATGTGACCCCCACTCTTTCCTCAGGACCTGTGGATCCCCTATTTCAACATCACCACTGACATCACTGCCTCTGCCATGAGGATCCACACTGATGGTGAGCCTGTCTACCGATCTGCCTGCCCGTCTCCCTGCTGCACGGCGTCTGTCTGTTCCTCCCATTTTCCCGGTGCCTGTGTACCAGACTCTCTCTCTCTTTCTTCCTCTCCACCCTTTCCCTCTCCCCAGGCTCTCTGTGGCGGTACGTGCGTGCCAGCATGTCTCTCTCGGGGTACCTGCCCCCACTGTGCGACCCCAAAGACGGGCACCTGCTGATGGACGGGGGGTACATCAACAACCTGCCAGGTCAGTGCCGCCCTCCCCTCCCTGCCCGGCTCGCTCTCTCGCTCGCCCCGCATCGCTCTGACGCCCCTCCCTGTCTCTCCAGCGGACGTGGCGCGGTCCCTGGGGGCGAAGGTGGTGATCGCCATCGACGTGGGCAGCCAGGACGAGACGCACCTCACCAACTACGGCGACTCCCTCTCGGGGTGGTGGCTGCTGTGGAAGCGCTGGAACCCCCTGGCCGAGCGCGTCAAGGTGCGAGCCCTGCCGGGTGGGCGCGTTCGAGCGGCGGTGCGGTGCGGTTCACGTGGGAGGTCTCCCTCATGCCCTCGCTGGGTAGCTCCCCGATCCCGGACTGCCTCCCGGCTGGTTCTCGTGGGGTTTCTGTTAGGCTGCTCCGGGACCTGGGTTCCTAGCGGCTGCGACTGTGTCGATGGGGATTTTGGATGTTGGAGTTAAGTGTGATGACTGTTTGTGTTTTTCCCGTCATGAAGTTCCCATGATCCCACTGGCTCCTGGGCTCATGTCAGTGAGCCCAGGGCTCGTGTATGCGTGTGCACGTCGGATGGAGTGCGCGCAGGTGTGCACGTGGTTTGGAGTGTGTGCGGGGCTGGAGTGCGCGCAGGTGTGTGCGTGAGATGGAGTGTGTGCGGGGCTGGAGTGCGCGCAGGTGTGTGCGTGAGATGGAGTGTGTGCAGGGCTGGAGTGTGCGCGTGCTGACGGCGCCTCCCGCGCACTGCAGGTGCTGAACATGGCGGAGATCCAGACGCGCCTGGCCTACGTGTGCTGCGTGCGCCAGCTGGAGTCCGTGAAGAACAGCGATTACTGCGAGTACATCCGGCCCCCCATCAACCGCTACGGCACGCTGGAGTTCGGCAAGTTCGACGAGATCGCCGTGAGTCCGCGCGGCCTCCTCCCTCACGTCCTGTGGCCTGTGGGCCTGTCCGCCTCCCCGTCTCCTCCCTCCGGGAAAACCCTTCGCCGACGGGAGCTCTGTGGCCATAACTCACGTAGCTGCTAACAATGGTGCAAATAAAATGACAGCACTTGGCAAGTCGCAAAGGCAATTAATGAGCGGGAGGTGTGATGAGCACTCAGCAACTTACACACTCGATACAAGGGGAGATGGAGAGTGTTTAGACGGCCTCTCTGCGTGTGGAGCAGCTCTCCGGCATGAGCCGCTTCCCTCTCCACATCCCTAGTGAAGAGCCGGGTGAAAAGCGCTG